TTGGCTACGAGACCCGCATATTTGCATACGGGCCGGGCGCGGGGCGGTCGGGGGCCGGTCGGGGGCGCCAGGGGCCAGCGGCCGCCGCCGAATTTGGGCTGAGAGCCGGCGACGGCCCCGCGCCGCGGTTGCAGGTGACGCGCGAGGGGTCCCAGACCGGCGGGCGGGGGCTCGGGCCGGGCTGGTGCGGTGGGGCTCGGACGGACAAGTTGGAGGGGAAGGAGGGGTCGGGGGTGGGGGACGGCCCCTCCGTCCACCCGGTGGCCTCCAGGCGCAGGGCAGCCACTGCCCACCGCACACTGCGCTGCTCCGGACCCACTGTGCGTGTGACAGCGGCTGATCTGTCCCTGGGCAGCGCGACCGCCCCGGCCCCTCTGTGACCCTGCTGTGTTGGGCAGGGGACAGCCAGACCAGGTGGGAGGGCGAGCACCAAGGCGGGGAGAGGCGAGGGAGCCCCTGTGGACCGGGTCTGCCTGTAGGCACTCAGCAGGGGGGGTGGGGAGGAAGGGGAAACATCGTGGGGCTTCACAGCCCTCCACAAGAGGGGGCTCAGGTTGGGCCAAATGCGCCCTTGGAGGGAACTTTTCTTTTCCTTGTGTGTCTCAGGTGCCAGGATGTGCAGAGTTGCTGGGATGGTCTTCTGAATGTTTCCAAGCCGAGGGCAGCCCTGGGCAGGCACGGGTGTTGTGGTCAGACCCTTGGCCCTCAGGACCGGAGCCCCTACTACCTGCCTCTTGAGGGCCACCTCTGGAAACTTTCTTAAGGAAGATGGTGACGGATTTGGCTTTTCTGTACATTTCTGCCACTTCAGCAAGGCCACTAAAGGAGTCAGAATGCCAAGGACCCACTTGTGGTGCCCAGCGACATGCCCTCCCAGAGGTGGGGGCACCTGGTAGAGCCCCCAGCCTGTCTGCAGGGCCTGTTCCTCTGCTGGGGGTTTTCAATCCACTCTGAAAATCTGCTGGTCCGGGAGCACACCCCTAGCAGCCTCTAGGCATGCAGGGGCCAGGATGCCTGCAACAGGCCCTCTCCCAGACAGTGGGGGTTGATGGCTGGAGCTGGGTCTGCAGTTGTCAGCACAGCGTGAGGGAGGGGCAACCTTAGCTGAGGCCTTGCATGCACTTGGACTCACGTTTGGAGGGAGCCTGTCCTAAAGGTCACTGGTGTACTGAGGGTCACACCCAGTAGGCTTGGCCGGGCAGGTTCTGCAGGAGACAGCGAGGTTGTGGGTGGCCTTAGGGTTGAGAACCAGTGGAGCTGACTGGCTGCCACAGGGCGATGACTTGCTGTGGGTGACCCCCAGTGTTCTCAGCCAACCCACAAGAGTACCTTTGCACTGGGGGGTGAGCAGAACTCTGAGGTCAGGAGGAGCTCCAGTGCTATCCCCCAATGCAGCCTGGCCCTACAGACAGTGATGAAGGCTGCCTCTGCAGTTACATCAAGCCGGGTCCTGTCTCATCCTGCATGGGCAACTGGCCTGACCTGGCTTGGTCCTGCTCTGCCATGGCGTGGATGTGTGTGTATGTTGGTGGGGGGGGAGCTGGGTCTCTCCTTAGGTCAGCATAGCCCACATCATTGTTTTCAAAGTGCAGCTTAAAGCTCCAAAGTAAACTTTTCAGCAATTCCAACGCTTCCTTACTGATTTGAAGCACCTGTGGCCACTTTTGGGGATGTGGGATTTTGTCCACCTGGAACAGCCACAGAGGAGGAAGGTTCTGCCCCTTTCCCCACCCTAGAGCACAGCGGCTACCTGAGGACCCAGGTCCCAGGAAAAGAGGGCTCATCAGCTTTCTCAGCCAGTAGCAGACCAGGAACAGGTCCCTGGCGAGGTCTCAGAAGGAACAGGTGTTCCCTGAAAACAAACACAGGAGACCAGGGGTGTGTGAGCTGTGCTAGCATCGGAACTGATTCCCTTTGGGGGTGGGAAAGCACATGACACCGGGAGGCCGTGGGCTAGTCCCCAGCTAGCACCTGGCTTTGCCCTGTGCTGGCCAATGTGCTCAGCTTGGGAGATGACCCGTGCTGGGGCTCGGGGCAGGTGCCCAGAGGTACATCCAACCCACCTGAGCACAGGTGAGGGCTGTGGGTGGGGAGAGCAGGCCCCTTGGACCTGGTGGTGACTGCCTGTAGCTCCAGCCCTCCCATCCAGGGCACAACACAATCAGCATTTGCATTCCAGGCTATACCCATGTGACCCTGCACTTGGCCCTGTCTGGAATGGGCTGCTGTGAGGTAGACGGTGGGCTCGGGTGGGAGTGTAGGTAGGAGCCGGGTAGGGCTGGGGGCTTTGGAGTCAGGAGCCTGGGCCAGAAGTGCCCTGCTGCTGCCTGGCCTGTCCAGTCGTCGCTCCCAGTCCTGTTCCATCTTGGGCAGGAAGTATCCAGTCCTGGTTGCCCCCCCCCTCCCCCACAAGATGCTCTTGATGGTGTTGCCTCTTGGTGGCTTCCTTGCTCCTTGTACTCAGGACTTCATGTCCCCTATGGTTGGCCTCAAAAGAAGTGGGGAACACCAGGCCCAGCTCAGGGGCCACTCCAGAAGGCTGAGTCCATCCCAAAGTTGCTGACCCCCAAACTCAGCACAAAGACCCCTATCATCTAGGATGCCTCCATTTCCTCTTCCCTAATATCCATGGTTGCACCGAGCCCCTGGGTTCTGACCATCACAAAGAGCTCCAACCCCAGCTACAGTGCTCACAGGTGGGACCTGCAGCCCACCCAGGACCAGGACCGTGATTTGGACATCACTCTGCCCTAATTTTGAGGCTGCAGGAACACAGCAGAGCCTTCACACCCACCTGGGAAGCAGAGGGGGCCTGTTGGGGGGCTGGGCAGCCACACCCTCATGGGGCCTACACAGCTCTTCTGGGCGAAGCTCCTTGGTCCTGGCCGACCAGGAGTCTGGGGACCTGCCCCCACAAGCTCTCAGTAAACCTGATAGGCAGGTCTGGCATGTCCAGGAGCCATCCCAATGGGGTGGCAGTTCCTGCTACTGGTGAGGAGTAGGCCAGAGGAGGGCACCCAGACCAGGGCTGAGGCTGCTGTTAAGGCCCCATACTGTCCAACTCTCAACCTAGGCTTGGGCTGCCAAGGAGAGCCCCTGGGTGCAGCAGCTGGAAATGTGAGGCCCTACAAGCCCCAGCTTTGGGCCCAACTGACCACTGGTCCCTGGGAGACACCCCCCCTCCTCAAGAGCCCTGGTTGTGGCCAGCCCCGGGTAGCTTGGGGTACTCCCCAGTGACTCTGGCTGGTCTCAAGTTTTAGGTCCCACAGATCCTGTCCAGTACAGCCTCAGGACACACTCAAGCCATTCTGGGCAGTTTATTGAGGTTTTAGGGTTGGGGTAGGGGAGGCGGCACGCCGTGTGTGCATGCAGGCTCAAGGAAGGATACTTCCCACATGCAAGCACACACCCACAGGCCGAGCAGTGTCCACACATCTCCCAACCCCAATAAGGAGCCATGGCCTTTGGGGCGCAGCGAATTCTGAGCTGGTCCCGCCCCCTGCTTCTCCAGGGGGCTTGGCAGACTTGGCAAGGACTAGGGCAAGTGTCCTCAGCCTCCCCCTGCCCCCCACAGTGGAAACCCCGGGGCTCTGAGGTGTTCTGTCTCAGACCCAGGGCACCAGGGCTTCCCACTGTATGGGGGAATGAATCCTCTGCGACCGCCAATCTCCTGTTGTCCGGGTCGGGCTGGCCTTGGCTGCCCTCGCTCATGTCATTGGAGCCCAGGGCTGGGCTGGCAGTGGATGTCCATTCTAGGGCAAGAGCTGCTACCTCCAGGAGTTCTGCCTCATTGGGGCAACTGTGGGGAGGGCACAGGCTGAGGGGACTGAGGAGGCCCCAGGAAGACCCTGTCCCACCGAAAGTGGGGAAAACACGACATACTCTCTGGACTCAGGCCGGACACTAGAGCAGGATTCTGAGGGGTCCTTGTGAGGGGCTCTTCTCTGGCTGGAGGCAGAAGATCCTATGGGGAGAGTAGGTCAGCTTGGAGCTGGGCCAGGCCTCCCACCCACCTGGCCTCCCTCCAGAACCACTCTGACCTGTGTGCTGAGGGGGCCCCTGTCTGGCCGGGGGGGTGGTGGCAGTGCAGCCCCCGTCTGCTGGATGAACTGCTGCAGGTTACACTGACGGAGCTCCCGGTTCAGCTCCTCAAGTTCCTGGGCTTGGGCCTGGGGCACAGGGAGCCCTCAGGGGACACAGCCATAGGGCTCCATGGCCTCATGCTCTCCCTAGTCTGACCCTGAGACCAACCCCCAAATCTGCTCACATTGGGGACATCAGCAGGGGCTCAGGGGCCTGTGGGCTTACCTGCAGGGCGTGCTCGGCGGCCTCCAGGGCCCTGCTCACCAGGGCCAGGCTGCCTTGTACCTGTGCGCTCTGCCGTTCCTGGGCAGCCAGGTCCTGGCGCAGGCGTTCAGTTGCAGATGCTGTGGGTGAGGGGGGCCCAGGGGCCTCAGAGGCCAGATGTAGTTCAGCCTCCAGGGCACGGGCCTGGGCATCCAGGGCCTGCAGCCGGGCAGCATGCTCAGCAGTGGCTGCGCTCAGGGCCTGCAGGCGCGCCTGCCCCTCACGCTCCCGTGCTTGCTCCCGCCGAAGCTCCTGCTCCCAGAAGGCCTCTTGACCCAGCTCCACTGCGTTCCTCCGCACCCTTCGCTCCAGGCTCTGCAGGTCTGCACAGGAGCCTGGGATTGGTGCTACTGGGGCCACAGGCTCAGGCAGCGCAGGGCTGGGGGCCAGCCCAGGGCACCCCAGGCTGAAGGTCAGTGCTTGGCGCTGCTCGTGGCCCAGGGCTGGCCGTGGCTTTGGGGGGAGGCTGGCTCGGACTGGGCAGCGCTCAGGAGGTGGGCAACTGTCTGAGGAAGGCCTCCCAGCAAGGCTGGGCCCTGTCCGCCTCAGGACAAACTGGACATCACTGGCAAACTGTCCACAGGTAGCCTGGGCACCCACTGGACACTCCTGGGGCAGCAGCTGCCGTTCCTTTTCCCTGAGACGCTGCACGAGCACAAAGCGGCCCGTCTGGCCTGGGGTAGGAGGAGACAGGTCAGCCTATGCACCCCCCCCAACACCCTCCATCCACCTGGCTTGAGAAGTTAGGGAAGGGCAAGAGGGATCATCAGCCAGCCCCACCCTCGATGGGGGAAGGGGCCCGAGGGCCAGGCCCCACCTCAGGTGCACCTGTTGGGCCATCTTGCCTGAAAGGACTCACCTATTGCTTGGGCTAGTGCTATGACCACTTCCTGACAGGTGGTTTGCTCCGAGACCCCACAGACCACGCGCTGTATGCCATCCACCCACACCTTCAGCTCCATCGCTGCTAGCCCGGAGAGCATCCCTGTCCTGCAGGGAGGACAAAGGCCACAGGGTCAGGCCCTGCCTGGCCCCACCACCGCCTGGCTCCTCTCACCTCCAGAAGTGGTTCAGGGCTACTGCCCCCTCCCCATGCCAGTCCTGCTCTCCTATGCCTAGCCCCACACGTAGGCCATACGGTGTTGGGGTGGAGGTAGTCAAGACCAGCCCCCCCAATGGGTAATCATTGTGCCCTCCAGAAGCACTTTGAAGCTCCCCGACTTCCCAGCTTCTTGCCCCGCCCCACTCCCGGAACAAGGCGAATCATTAACCAGATCCAGAACTTCCTGCCTCCCCAGTCACCTGGCTCGAAAGGCACTGCCCCTCCCACGGGACGCCGGCCTCAGGCACCCAAAGGCGCCCTCATGAAAACACGGCTTCCCGCTACCATGGGAACGCCCCCTCGCCGCGACTCAGACCTCGGCCCTCCGGAGCCACGGAACTGCGCCTGGGCGACCCTCGCCGGCGCGGGCAGCCCCCTTCTCTCTCCCGCCAGCCGCTGCGCTCGCCCCCCAGGCCGCCGTCGCTGCTGCGGAGCCGCTGCAGGTGCGACGCGGCCCCACGGCGGCCCAGCCCGCGCCCCTCCATCGGAGTTTCTGCCCGAGGCAGCGCCCCGCACGCAGGAGGACCTGGGGCCCTGCGCGGCTCACCTGGGCGCTCGCTGGCCTCCGGGACGCAGACTCGAACCGGCTGCTTCCCGGCGCCGGGCGCCGCCGCAACCTGCCGCCTCCAGCGCAGCGGGCGAGCCCCGGCTCGCCACTCCATTGGCCCGCAGCCCGAGCGCCCCGCCCCGCGCCTCCCTACTGGCTCCCAGGGTCGCCCTGCCCGCCCTCCCCGCCTTGAACCAATGTCCATTGGCTGCCCCTCCTTGCCCCGCCCCTCCCATTGGCTCCCCGCCCGCCCCGCCCTCGGCGGCGCCCAGGTGTGGGCGGAGCTCGGCGGCGCGGAGGGGCGGGCCGAGCCTCGTCCACGCACGCCTGAAGACCGCGAACTACGCGGAAGCGCGTCCCCGGCCGGCTGGCGGCGCGTGGGACAGGTGTCTGGCTCCGGTCCCGGGCGGACTTCCTCAGAAGCCTCCCAGTCCGATAAGTCTCTTGCCTAGGGTGAGGGCACAGGCCTAGGACCCGGTAGCCTCTGCATCCAGAGGGGCAGATGCGGCGCCCCAAGGCCAGGGTCCCACCGACCCGGCTCCCTCAGGGCCGGTCGTCAGGACGCACAGGGGTCGGGAGCTGGGAGCCCCCGCGGGAGAGCGATGGTGCTCTCTGGCTGCAGCCAGGCTGACAGTCCTGGTGGGGGAGAAGGCTGCCCTGAAGTTGCTGGGGACAAAGCAAGACAATGACCCTGGGCTCTTTTCCCCCACCCCTCCCTGCCCCCAGTGGGGCCCAGTGCCTCCTCGAGTTGTGGACACACGCGGGCACCCTGTGCCTGGCAGAACCAGAGCCAGCTCAGCAGCCAGGGTCCCTCACAGCCTCTGCTGTCTGTGGACCAGGCTTTCAGAGCCTGCTCTGCCTCCTCACAACAAGCCATGGGGGGGGTCCTCCTGCCTGCCTGTATCCTCCCCAGCACAGGAAGTCCTACAAAAAGGCAGAGTTGAGAGTCTTAATGAATGAAAGTGAGGTGGGGGGGTGAAGGCTGGAGGGCATTGGTCTGTGTGTCAGGTCTGGTGCCTCATTTTTGTTCTGGGGCAGAGAGAACTGTTACCATAGTTATGAGAGGGTCCCCAGGGCTCCCCAAGGTGGTGGAGATGAACTGGAGAAAGAGAGGCTTCTAACTTGTGGGTTAGGTAGGTGGGCATCAGCCTCTGAGTGCCAAGATGCTGTGGGAAGCACTCAGGAGGGGCTCACTGCTGGATAGAGTCCAGTAAGCCCCCATACGCAGGGCAGCAATGCCTCCAATACCTGCCGGCTGCCATAGTTAAGCTGGGGAGGGACCGTGGGAGCCTCCTCAAGGTTGGTTGGGGGCGGCAGACTGCGTGTGTGACCATGGCAGGCCCTGCTGGTCACTCTATGGTCCCCCGGGCCTGCTAAGGCCAGCTGGGCAACAACCCAGCCTTTCAGAGTTTCTCCTTCAGGCTGGGTCGGGGTGGGCCCAAGGCTCACTCAGGGCCCTGGTCTGGGGTTTCCCTGGAAGCTCCTGGTAACAAACAGCCCCTCCCCTTCTGAGTACTGGTATCCATGGCAACACTCTAGCGCCTTTCTTTCCCTAGGCGTGCTTGGATTTCAGGCCTCAGGTGAGTGTTGGGGGTAAGGCCCTGGGTCTGGGGGCATCACAGGCAAAGGACCAGTCCCTCTGAGGACCCTTGCTTTAGGTTGAGGGACAGGACCTCAGGTCCTAGAAGGCAAGGGTGACAGGGGGACGACAACAGGAAATGTGCAAACACTCAGGTGACATGTTGCTTGTGGGGGGTGACCTGCTGCCTTGTCCTGGTCAGAAACACACAGATGTGAGCACACATGTGACCAGCAGTCTAGTGTCCTGTGGGGGGTGTGCGCACACACGCGTGTACACACACACAGACCTCTTTGGAGTGGTACTGTCTAGGGCTGTCAGGCATAGGCAGACGCTCATGGCCACAGGGGCATCCATACGTAGGACACAAGAATGACAGCCACACCGTCCCTCTCAGCTCCCCCAGGAACATCAAGAATGGCCCCTGAGTCTTGCCAAGAGGCTGAAGAAGCTGAGAAAGAGGCTTCCTTATCCCTGGTGGACCAAGAGCCAGTCAATGGCCACCTGGAGCCTCCAGCTGGCACACCCCAAGAACCAGTGGCTACCACATGCCCACAGGACACCAAGCCCAGCTCTCCACGGGTGGTCTTCTCTGTCAACCTGCAGGAAGGAAGGGAGGGAGGGGTGGTCAGCCACTTGGGCCTGGTCAGCCAGAGGGCAGGGTCTGATCGCTGGCATTGCAGGTTGGCCCCTGAGTCCCTGGACCCTCGAACCCTGCGGCTGCTGTGGGGTCAACGGGAACTAGAGATCCAGGCCCTGCGGTGGGCCATCCAGAACCACCAGGATGCCCGGCATTGCCACGTCCTGCACGAGGTGGCTGGACTTCCATCTGAGAGGTGAGCAGCCAAGCACTAGTCCCCCAGCCCAACCCAGCCTCTGTTCTGGCCCAAACTCCTGGTTTTTGTCTGACCCCATCCCCAACCACTGGTCCTGACCGACACTCCAACTTGATTCTTACTCTGACCTTTGCCTCTAGCCCTAAGCCTTACCTGGATCCTGACCCTCTACCCTAACCCTGAAAAAGTGAATATATTGTGAACATGCCCAGATCCTAACTCTGAACACATTTTTAGTCACTGAACCTAGACCCCACCTACAACCCAGACTTCTCAGAGCCAGACCTGGCCTAGCCCCCTGGAACTCTGTGCCCTTGGGCCCCCAGTGTCAGTGAAGAGGGGCCCCTCCTTCTCCCTTCCTTGGCTACTGACCTCGAGTTGGGGGCTGCTGAGATTGCCCCTTCCCCCAGGAGCGCATGCAATCAGGAAAAGTTCCTGCAGAACCAGGTCCAAAAGCTGACTCTGGAGTTGAAAGAACAGAAGAAACAGGCCCAGCTGGTGAGGGGCAGGTGGGATCAGGGAGTTGGGCAGGGGACCCAAGCTGGGGTGAGGATCAGGGGCCAGGTAGGGGTTGGCCTTGGGGGTCGGCACCTGGAGAAGACCCTGCCCACCTATGCACCCTCCTGGAGCAGGAGAAGTCCCAGCTGGAGGAACGTTTGCTGCAGACCATGACCACGATGCAGCAGCTGGAGGCTGAGCTGCAGGCCTTCCAGAAGTCCTGCCTCCTGCAGCTGGCCCGCTCCTCCTGGGTGGGTCGCATACTACGATCTTCCACTGGCAGTGTGGAGGTAAGCCCCACTCGGCCCACCCTCCTGCCTCCCGTGTCCCCCTCCCCAACCCTCCTTGGACATCCCCTGGGTAGCCAGTGTCTCTCCTTCGGGTGCTTTTGCTGGGGGGAGGGGGGCTGGCCTGCCTGGGAAACCTGTCTCCCCTCAGGACCACGGGGCAGGGAGGAACCCCCTGGTTCCGGCAAGTGGACGCACAGCAAGTGTGTCTCTCAGGTGCTGGTGAGGTCAAAGGAGAGAGGCTCTTTCCCCAGCCCCTGCCCACTGGCCTCCACTCCCCCTGTGCAGGTGGTAACTGCAGAAACCCTGATGGACTTCAGTGACCTCTCTGAGAGTGAACAGGGCCCCTCCACCGGGGAGGTAAGCAAGGCCCCCATGTGCTTTCACAGCCGGCAGCCCTGCAGGATGGGAGGGCCACATGCCTGTTGCTTCCTGACCAGGGTTTCCGGCTGGAGAACGTGGACTGGAACAGCATTGCCCAGCGGTATCCCAACCTCTTCATCAACATCGAGTCCAGCTCAGACCAAAAGTAACTTTGCTGGTCAGGCAATCCTCCAGGGGTGCAGGGCAGGGGGGAGAGCGTGCCTTGGCATATGTGGGCCAGAGTCCAAGTTCTACCTTTAGTGTGTCTGGACAAGTAACTCACACCTTCGAAGGTCAGTTCTCTCATATGTAGGATGAGGTTCACAGTGAAGGAAAAGGGCTCTGGAGCCCTCATGGTCCTTCCAGGAGCCTTTTCCCTAGGCCGGGTCCCGGGGTGCCCCATCCATCTTGAGGAGGCTAGATGGGCACAAGGCTAGAGTCTAGAAGCCAAAGCCAGCAGCTGCGAGCAGATCAGCACTGTGGCCCACAGGCATCCACGACCCCTGCCACCCCCGCGGTCCCCACCGTTGGACGAGTGGGGCTCGGAGCTGCACAGACAGCGCATGGAACAGCGTCTCAAGAGTGTCGAGTGGAGTTCCCTGCCCTTCGTGGGCACTAGCAGCTCGGGGGGCGCGGACTCCGACTCCAGCAGTGGCCAGCTGGCTGAGCATTATCGCATGCAGAAGGTGACAGGACACCCACCCGGCACGCCAGGCTGCCATTCTTCTGAGCTGACAGAGGCACGCTCGAGGAGCCTCAGCAGGGAAATGCAGACACAGCCTGAAGGTGGAGTGGAGCGGGCCTCCCCAGTTACCACCCCCCCCAACAGGGTTATGATCTCTGCCCAAAGCCCTAAACACCGTGTCCCCCAACAGCTTGGTCTTCACAACTGCCCAGAGCAAGGCCACTCCTAGGGATTAGGGTGGTCTTGGATGATAAGTGCTGCTGTCTCGGCACTCTGGCTCCAAGACCCCCCTGCCCCCCCAGGCCCATACTTGGAGTTACATCTCTGCTTCCCTCAGCCTCCAGGGTCCAGCCCTCCTGCTCTGGATCTGACCCCGGGAGCTGTTCCTCTCCCAAGTGCACCCTCAGGGTGCTGCAGGTCGGTCTGGCCTCCCATGAGATGTCCACAGTGGATGCTCCATATGGAGGTACCCCTTCCAACAGGTCCCCTTTCCCTGGATCTCCAGAAAGCCCACCGGGACCAGCCTGGCAAGACTGTCCTGATGAGGGAGTCCTGTGCAGATCCAGAGCACCCACATTCTGCATGCCATTGGAGGTGAGGGGGTGACCCGGTGGGTCACAGCAGGAGTGGGTCTCGGCCAGGGCGCAGTGGAGGGGTGCCCACGCCTCTCTGCACAGTGCCCCTACTCTCCCTGCTCCTCACCCCAGCCCAACGGGTTCCTGCCTGAAGATCGTGGCTGTTAACGGTCGGGAGAGGTTTGTGCGCGTCCTCAACCAGTCGCTGGAGGAGACTGCGGACCTGGGTGGCCTGAGGCTGCAGCAGCACCTGCATGACTTCCCCGTGTGCACGTACCGCTTCCCGCCGGGCACGCGGCTGGCGCCGCGGCACCACGTCACGGTGCGCCCCGCTCCCCGCGAGCCCCCGTGGCCCCGGCTCAGGCCCCCACCACTCCTCACCCACCACCCCATGATGCCCACCAGGTTTGGGGTGAGGGGCCCCGCAGCACCAAGAAGCAGCTGCCCTCTTCCTTGGGCCAGGAGCCCGTGCACTTCCGCTCCAGCCGGGGATGTGTGACTCTCCTCCTGAACCCCAAGGGCAAGGTCAGTGTGCACCCCAGCCGGAGGTGGGGTGGGGGTTGAGCCCCACGGGACGGGGGTGACCGCTGTGCCCCTCCCGGCCGGCCCCGCAGGTCCTGAGCGAGCATAAGGCCCCCCACTGCGTGTCCCCCATCTCGAGGATCTTCGCTGACAACACCGATTTGTCCATAGACCGCTTCCCGCTCTCAGAGCCCGGGCGTGGGGCTGACACCTGCGAGCAGAAGCCTGGGCCTCAACACTCCCACGCCGGCAGGGTGCGGGAAGCCCGGGCCAGACGTCGGAGGCCCGGGTGGGCACCGCGGGTCCCTTGGTCCCAGGCCCCACCCTTGCAAAAACCGTCTCCCCAGACTCCCTGTTAAGGACCATTCCCCTACCTCAGGTCCAGTCCCCTCTGGGGCCGCTCCCCAAGCCGGTCCCTGACCAGGGCCACCACCCACCTCCCCAGGTCCCGTCCTCTCCAGGCTCGCCCCCTAGTAATTCAAGACCACTCCCAGGCCCCCCGCCTCCCCAGCCCCTTCCTCTCCAGGACTGCCCTTCCCGCGGGCGGGCTCCGGATCTCACGACCCCCTCGCCCCACCAGGACACGGGTCCTCTTTCCCCGGCTGAGCACCAGCAAGATCTTCCGCCCACGGGAGGTGCCAGCGCAGTCCGAGGCCGCAGAGACCCTCGCGCCGGAGCTCCTGCCCTCCATCCCCGGTGAGCACGCAGTGATGCAGAGGGAAGGAGGACGGGCAACTCGCCAGGGAGGTGGGAGGCCCGCCTGACCGATCGCGTCATTGTTCCCCGCAGAGGCTGGGCTGTGCCTCGAGGACTGCCAAGCTAGGAAGGAGCACAGGGTCCGGGTGAGTGTGCGCGCGCGGGCTGTCCCGCGCCCCTTCGCGGCCCTGCCCCCTCCGTGCAGCCCTCCCCCGCCCCCCCCAGCCTCGCGCGCCTCTCAGGCTCCGCGCCCCTTCCCCTTCCCGGCCCGCCCAGCCCCGCGCGCCTCTCAGGCTCCGCGCCCCCAGGTATGCCGGAAGAGGGTGGACCGGAGCTGCCCGATGGTGGTGCTGTCGGTGCAGAGTGCGGCTGAGAGCAGATACGGCTTCCGCTTCCTCCCCTGCCCGCCGGTCACAACCGACTGGAAAGCTCGGTTGTAGGGGGTGGAGGGCAGCGTGGGGGTGGGCACCAGGGACCGAGGGGCCGCGCTGGAAGAGAGTCGTGGGAGGCAGGCAGTGCCGACTGCATAATTTATTGAACCAACATCGCCTACGAAGTAAACGGCACTTATGTACACGTGAGAGTATAAAAGGATTCGCTTGCTCTGGGGATACCCTGCCCCAGGGGAAGGAAACTGGCTTCTCCATTCCTGCGTGGGCGAGGACCTGCACATATCCGCCGGGGATGGGAGGCCTGGCTGCACCCTGGCATCTGGAGGGCCTGCCAGAGAGCTGATGGGGCTCTGCTCCAGCCACCTCCGCCTGGGCCCGGTAGAAGGAGTGGGCAGCTGGGCCAGTGCTGGGGACCTGGGCTCTCTTAACCTGGGATCTTTCTTGTGCCTACCGCTGGCGATCCCAGCCTCCGAATCTCCTCCACCAAGAAGGGTCTCTCCTATGTCAAGCCCATTACCCACCCCCCAATACACCCCCCGCGATGCTCTGGGTTCCATGAAGCCAGAGTTCACATGGGGCTCCCATGACCACACTGGGGCTCCTTGGCCTGCAATCCAGGCCAGCTTTGGCAGTGGGTGGGGGGTTGCACTAGGGGTGGGATTGGGCTGGGGTGATAGGGTTCAGGTGTGGCATGCACCGGAGGCGGGGGGGTCTGGCTGCTGGATCCGGTGCTGGCTTTGGGCCTGGACATCCTTGGGCTCTAGGGCTTGGGCCTGAGGTCACCTCCAGGGCTCTCAGATCCGTCACTGTAGCCAATCCCTGCCCTAGGCCAGGTCCCTGCCCTAAGCCAGGCCCTAAGCTACACAGGGCTCTGAGCCTCCGCCTCCGGAACTGCAGGCCTGTGGACCCCCAGTAACTGTTGCTAGAATCAGAAGGCATGGGTGTCTTGGGGGGAGAGGGGGTCAGGTTATAGCCCAAAGTCCTGGAAGGCTCTGGAGAACAAGGAAAAGACAGCTTGTCAGACAGGGGCCTCCATAGAGATCACTAAGTGTGTGTGTGTGGGGGGTCACCACAGGCGAGGTTGGCAGTGTCCACTGTGGCTCCTCCCCCAGCCCTTCACCCCCCCCTCCAAGGCAGCATCCCTCTCTTCCATTTCCCGTGCTCCCCTGGGAAGCTGTGTCCCTGCAGCCCTGTGACTTCTGGTAGTTGCTGGGGATGCAGAGGCCACAAAACCTGGGCTCTGGCTTTGGGTCACTGGTTCGCATCCCCAAGGTGGCCCAGGCCAGGTCCTAAACCTCTGCTATAGAGTGAGCCACTGGCACTCCCCCAACCCTGCTCAGGGCAGACTGGGCGGTATGGCTATGGTCACCCCATGCTGACCTGGACCTGGCCTGGAATGGGAGGCTCCAGTACCCTTTTTTCCCTGAGTCCCCACTGCCTGTCATCACTCCACCTGGCTGCCCTGCCTGTTCTCCCTCATCATCGCCCCCCAATAGTTGACAGCTCTTGACTAGCTGGTCTCAGGGCCCACCCTTTCTAGCCCCTCCCCCCCCCCACCCCCCCAGGCACCTGCCAGCACATGGAAGGCAGAGGGTTTGTCTGTCGTGTCCCTGTTCCATCCTGGCCCTTTTGACTCCCCAACCCACAGGAAGGTTATTCGGCCAACCTTTAAGCCTGTGTACCTGCTGCCCCCTGCTTACAAGGCCCCGTCCCAGACTTGCCCACTCAGTTCTACCAGTCAATTCAGACCCTTCTTCTAGGAAGCCTCCCTGGACCCTGCTGGCTGCGGGGTCTCTCTGCCTTGCAGTCCCTCCTGTGTTTGTTCCACTTGGCCGTGGTCACTCTGAAGCCAGTGTCCTGAGCCCAGCACAGGCCCTGTGTGCAGGGTAAGGGCAGCACCCTCCCTGCCATAGTCTGGCCCATCTGGTAGCCTCTCTCTCCATTGGCCTGTGCTCTGCTCTGTGCCCAGTGGGCCTGTCCTGGCCACTCATTGCCACCCTGCCCTCTCTTTCAGTCCAGACTCCCTGCTCACAACCCCCTCTGTCCAGCTCCTGTGGCCTGATGATCCCATGGGCTCAGGGAGGAGGACTTGAGATTGGAACCCCTTAAGTGTAAGTGCCCCCCCCTCAGGAGAGGACCTCCCTGTTGCAGCCCCTCTCAGAGTCCAGCTGAGGAAGGGGGCCCAAGCTGATGAATGCTAGTCTGGGGCAGTGTGTGGGGTCACTCTCAATACCTGGGACCAGGCATAGGGGGCTGGAGGGAGTCTTGGGCCTAGACTTGTCCTCTTGCTCTTCAGGGCCCCTCCATGGGCCCCAGGGGGCTGTGGCACCTTCTTGCTGGGACTCCAGGGACCTACCAGGGAGGGGGCTAGAGTGGGGGGAGGGGGCTGCAGCCCTGCCCTTAGAGCCAATTCCAGATGAGTGTGCTCCTGGGATGATCCCCCAGCCTCAGGCTCCCATGGCCAGCCCTCCCGCCAACCTGGGTACCCAGGCAGTCCCCAGTCATGCCCTCCCACCAAACAGGACATGCAGTGGTAGGTCTTGGTTGGGGTGAGGGGCACCCACCACAGGCGCAACTCCCTGCAGGCCGGAAGCCTCGCCAAGGCCAGGGGGTCACTGCTGTCTGTAGAATCAGGCCCTGGAATAGAGGCAGCCAGCTCCTTCAGCCTGTGTGGGGGCAGCTGCTCCGGACCTGCCCAGGCCTAGGGAGAGAGAGGGCTGGTTTGGGGGCACAGCCTTCAAGGGGGCTGGGTGGGGAGTGCCCTGAAGATAGAAGGAGGGGGGTGAGAGCTGGGGCCTCTGGCCAGCGATGGCTGTGGGGCAGGGTACTGTCAGGCCAGGACGCTGGTCCCCTGTCGTAGTCCTGGAGTCCTGACCCAGCTGGGGGTGGCAGGGCCTACCTGGCATTGGTGTCGACGCTCCCGCAGGCCTCTGGTGGGGTTCCCGCAGAGGACTCGGCTAGCCCCTAAAGAGGAGGATATGGCTGGGCCTGGTTTCGGGTTGAGGGACTGCAGGGTCAGCTTTCTGCTGAGATGGGTTAGTTACCATGGGTGAGGTTGCTGGTGTCATCCTCTGGAGCTGGGTCCTTGGGAAGCAGGCTTTCAGGCAGAGGACCCCCAGTGACCAGTAGGGAGAGTGGCCATGGCCTGGGGGCCCATGGCTGGGTCTCGGGCAAGGAGAGCTCGGAGCTGAGTTTCTGAATGGGGGCTCCATGGGGATGATCTGCCCGAGGGTCAAGATCAGAGGTCACGGAAACCCACACCAGCCGGCCAGCCCAAGAGCCCCCCCTCCCCCAGAACTGTCCACAGACCAGGGACCCCTGCCACCCAACATCTGGGTGTCTGGAGGCCCATGCCCCAGCAGGTGCTGCTCACAGGGAGGTTATCCTGGCCTGGGGGCAGGTGTGCAGGGCTCTGGGAAGAAAAGATTCAGGCCGAGAAGGGTTAGGAGATGTGGCTGTCCATCTCTGCGAGGCCTAGGGGTGTGCTTGGGGTACAGAGCTCTCTTCCTGGGGATGGTAGGGGTGGCAGCCTCTTCTGGGGCTCAGTCAGTAAGGTCTCCAGGCTGGGTGGGGCAGCCCTTGCTAAGAGGGCCAGTGAGTGGCTGCCATACCCAGCCCAGGGAGCAGGCCATCCAAGACACTGCCCTCCCTGATGGCCTCCTTCACCATGAGCCAGTCCTGGTCCAGCTTCCGGGAGGCCGGGGGGCCTGTGTGTGTGGCTGGTACCTCATCCAGGACCTGCAGCTGGGGGATGAGCTTCCTCACCTCTGCCCGATAGTTGTAGCCCCGCGGCACCTGCAGGGGGGAGGGTGTGGCAGGCCTGGGTCCAGTGGGCCCTTCAGGCCAGCTCTATCCTGTGGCTGCTTTCTCCAGACCCTCTGTGGGGCAAGGCAGGGGAGCTGAGGGTTGGTGATGCCGGCCCACCCTGCCAGGGCGGGCCTGGGTCACTCTGGGCCAGCAGGGACTTTGGGGACCCTGGGCTCTCACCTGTATGTGATCTCACTCTCTGGGCTCACAGCCAGGGCCCAGTGGTGTCCTCTGGCCTGTGGGGCTGCCCTGAGCTCAGAGCTGCGGCCCAGCTGGGCAGCCCTGTACACCGATCGCACAGCACAGAGCCTAGCAGGGCAGGAGGCATGAGCCCCAGGTGCGCACGGGCCCACGATGTCTGAGTGCATTCCCACCTAGGGCACGCCCAGGCCTGCGGGGGACGGAGGGGGCTTCGGACTGGGCCTGCACGCATGTGTGTGTGTGTGTGTGTGTGTGTGAGTGTGTGTGAGTGTGAGATTCCATGTGCAGACTGAACCGACTTCACGTGGGTGAATTATGGGCCGGGGGGCAGCGTGTGTGCACATGGCCCTGTGGGGCCCTGTGGGGTCTGGTCCGGGCCCAGAAGGTCTCCAGCAATACAAGAGAATGAGCTCATGGTGAACAAGTCACAGGGTGCAGGTGGGCCGTGCCCTGGAGACGTGACCTGGGGATGCTCCCGTGCTCAGGTGGGCAGAGAGGCCCCTGGGACCGTGGGGGGGCACAGAGTGCCTCGCCCTCCTGTGCACGGTGGGTGCCCACCACACGCACCTTGTTGGAAGGGCTGGGCGCTGGCCGCAGGCACACCAGGTTGCCCTCCAGGGTGAGCGTGGCCAGCCTCGGGCACAGCTGCAGGAAGCGCACCTGCCCCAGGTCCTCCACGCTGTTGCCCTCCAGGTCTAGCACCTCCAGCTGCTGCAGCAGGCACAGCGGGCTCAGGTCTGAGACGTTGTTGAAGGAGACGTAGAGTTCCTGGGGCGGCAGGGGGCTCAGCCAGGGCTTGGCCTGGCACCCTCTCCCCAGCCCAGGGCACCACAGACCCACCTTCAGGGCCGGGAAGGAGCCAATGCCATCCAGGTCAGTCAGGCCGCAGCGAGCCAGCCACAGCACCTGCAAGTGGCCCAGGGAAGTGCCCAGGTCTCTGTAGAGGGCAGGGTTGGCTGGTCAGCACTGTTCCGGGCTGGAGGCCTTGTCTGTATCCATGAAGGCCCTGTGCCAGCCCTTGTGCCCTTCCACCACCCACATCCGGCTCTCTCCAGGCACAGGGGTGCCTGTGAACTGTGGCCCGTGTGTGGCAGCCTCCAGGCCGGGAGCCCCTGCCTCCCTGCATTCCCTCCTTGCTGCAGCCTCCTGGTCTCCAGCACGGGGGGAATCCACCTTCTCCTTCCCCTGGAGGGCCCGAGGCTGGC